AGTAAGAAATTAAGGAAATGTGATAGCTGAAAATTAAAATTTCACACAAAACCTCACAATAATCACACACAGAATTAAAAGCTTCATGTAGAAGACCTTTTCCCCTCGTGATCCTCTTTCCTATGCATGCATGTTGCCAATTGTTGGTGCAGTACAAGTTAAAGTTGAAAGCAGCATTTCAAGTGTTGTGATTATTGTGAGGTTTTGTGTGAAATTTTAATTTTCAGCTATCACATTTCGTTAATTTCTTACTTTTTAGACGGGGTCCATGGACTAGAACACAATAACTTTTTTTAGAAAACTTCCATAAAGCAGTTTTTATTGCTATAATTGTAGTGGGCTGGACATGTTCCCAAGGCCAAGGGAGTCGTAAACCTACCATGTACGACTTCCTGGTGCATCTACGTGTACTTGTACCGTACTTGTAGAACATGCACAACTGTATGGAATTTGATGCGAACAGGGGGATTATTCCAATTTTATGCGATTCGTATGCAATTGGTACATGACTTAATTAAGGCAAAAATTAAAATTTCACCAGTTGTAGTCTTCGGGGTGCTGAGTCGAATGGTCTTGGTCCGAGAAAGCTGAGACGCTCCCTTCCTACTTGAATCCCAATCGAACTCGCGCACTTCCACCGAAACTGGGTGACTGCGCCCTACTAGATGGGGATTTGTATGCAAAATGTCACTAAAAGCGCCATTTCGTACTTATAAAAGCACGGATGACCGCGATTGGCCCATATGTTGTAGTCTTTTGGACGCTGAGTCGACTGGTTTTGAACTTTTGGTCCGAAAAGGCTGCGATGCAGCGTTCCTCCTTTATTCCCAATCGAACATGGTTGAACAAGCGGTCACGTGCTCCTGGGTGCCCAAATCACCTGGTCACCACGCCAGCAGGCAACAACTTTCACACCAAGGTTCAACTCGAGTTCAACTCGAGTGACAGGAGTGCACCCAAAAAAGGTCAAACAGGCTAGTTAGTTGTACCCTGCAGGCACGGTGACCAGGTGACTGGTGTACGCAGGAGCACGTGATCGCTTGTTGAACCATGTTCGATTCGGAATAAAGGAGGAACGCTACATCGCAGCCTTTTCGGACCAAAACCAGTCGACTCAGCGTCCAAAAGACTACAATATATGGGCCAATCGCGGTCATCCATGCTTTTATAAGAACGAAATGGCGCTTTTAGTGACATTTTGCATACAAATCCCCATCTAGTAGGGCGCAGTCACCCAGTTTCGGTGGAAGTGCGCGAGTTCGATTGGGATTCAAGTAGGAAGGGAGCGTCTCAGCTTCCTCGGACCAAGACCATTCGACTCAGCACCCCGAAGACTACAACTGGTGAAATTTTATTTTTTGCCTTAACTTCCCCTTTAAAGGGGAAGTGCATCGATTTTTCGAGTAGGGTCCAGAAGAAAGACAATTTTGATATCGGTTCGAATGGCATATCTCTCGCTTCCATACGATAAGCCAAACTTGCCAAATCGCCAATTGTATGCTCACGTTGCCATAGCGACCAGCGCAGTGATGACCTACATGTATGAAAGGCTGAGCTCCTCCACAGAGAAGGACGATCACTGCAGAAATTGGTCATTTTCAATTGTCTTATTGTATTCACGATGTGAAAGAAGTGCTGTGTTCGATGCTGTTAGTGCCGTGAACTACATGTATTTATCGCCCTTCTCATGCATTTCCCTGGGCTGACTGTGCCTAGGAAATGGTTTCCAATAGGACAAGATGCTTGGAATTCGCCATCTCTCATGAGACATTTTCAGCGAACTTTCAAACCTACGACATTATTTCATTCGTCAATCTCCACCACCCGTCGTCTCACCTGTAGGCCTTGAGAGATTATGCTAGCAGAATTTTTCGCATAATTCCTACAAAATCGAATAGTCGCATAATTCGAGGCAAATTGCATACGAATCGCGTGAAATCGGGAATAATCCGCATATTCGCATCAAATTCCATGTTCTACAAGTACAAGTACAAGTAGATGCACCAGGAAGTTGTAGGTTTACGACTCTCTTGATAACATGCGCTATCCGCGGCTTCTTCGGTCTGCCACCATGGTCGCGCACGAGCCCGATCTTTGATCAGCTCCGCCTCACCACCCTGGAGGACATGTTTAACATTAAGCTCCTCATCTTTGTCCGTCGTTGTCTGTTCTCCCGAGCTAGCTCCCTCTTCACCAGCTTCTTCGTGAGAGTTACTGGTGACCGCACTCGGGGAGCAGCACATCACCTCGTTCGAGTACCATTTTGGCCCGGTCCTGCGGGTCGAGCGACCATGCAGTTCATCGGCGCAGTCCTGTGGAACCAGCTCCCGCCTGATCTCCGTTCCGAGCCCAGCCACCTTCAGTTCTGTGCCCTGCTAAAAGCGCATCATGGCTCCGTTTAAATGCTTTTCGGCTAGTGTGTTTCTGTGGTATAGCGGACTGAAGACTACTTGTAGTAAACGTGTTTTGCAATATATGTATGAAGCTATTTTGTGTATAGTATGTTCCCATTCCGTTTTTGCTTTGGTGTAGCCCTGAGGTTGATTGCTTATTTATTTCTACCCTTCCTCTCTCCATACTTCGGTCCCCCCCTCTCTCATTCCTTCTGTCGTCCACATGTATCAAAGGAGGCGAAATCGCCTGTTTGTGGTGCGACGTTAAATAAACTTCTACAAAAACAACAACAACAACATGTCCAGTCCACTACAATCAGTGACGGTCCTAGCTAGGTCGGACGGTGCGTTGACTCCGTTAAACGTTTGCTACTACAGTACAACGCCCTCTACAAAAATCCCCTGTTATTTTGCACAGAACCATTATACATTAGCAGCATATGTGAGCATAATGCGGCATAAGATGATAACTTTTAGCATAAAGATGGCATAATTCTGCAATTTTTCAGCAAAGCGAAAAGCATAATTTCACGAAAATATTAGCATAATCTGTCAAGGCCTACTCACCTGGCTTCAGAAGATGTTACGAGAGATAGGAGAGTCGCCAGGAAGCATCACATTCATCTTCAGGAAGTGGAAAGAGCAAACGGCAGGGTCATTGGTTGGGGGAATGCTGAACGTCTGATTTGTCCCAACCAAGATTTCAGCATTTTGTTCGTCACCATTTTCGCTTGTCTGCGGCTGTCTCCGCACTCCAGCTTTCTCCTGTCGGTGTCACGTCCAAGTACACAACCGAGAGGACTACTAACAAACAATTCACTGCACTAACAGCATTGAACACAGCCCTTCTTTCACTTCGTAAATACAATAAACCAATTGAAAATGACCTAATTCTGCAGTGATCGACCTTCTCTGTGGTGGAGCTAAGCCTTTCGTGCGTCATCACTGCGCTGGTCGCTATGGCAACGTGAGTATACAATTGGCGATTTGGCAAGTTTGGCTTATCGTATGGAAGCGAGAGATATGCCATTCGAACCGATATCAAATTGTCTTTCTTCTGGACCATACTCGAAAAATCGATGCACCTCCCCTTTAATAATAGCCGTCTGGCATGGTACAATAACCTTTTTTTCATTTATTTTTATTTTTATTTTTAATGGCATTCTCTTCTACCTCGAATGGTTTACAATCTGTATCACAATTATTTGTGGGTTCAGCAATAAAGGATGTGAATACTCCACTGCGAGTGGTGGACCACGGCATACACGCTCTCTAAGCTGCAAAGTTCTGGTGCAAAGCTCCCCTTCTCACCACCACCACCATCAGTTCGCGCCTGGCACCTCGTCGATGCATGGTTGGCGGTATCCGACATAGGAGGCTGGTACATCAAGTAGCGCAAGGCACATAGAAGATGACACAGCAACGACATAGCTCGATTGCGACGTACGTTTCGTCCCCGCTGGACTCATCAGGCAATCTTCTTCTTAGATATCTTCATACGGAGCTTGACACGGGAGAATGAAGTTGAAGACACCACTGCAGCTGTACTTATATCTTTACTTATAAAGAAGAGGCACCTGTGACGTGTGTTTGTCTGTGTGGTTGTCTGTGTGTTACGCAGCCCTCAGCACGCGAAGGGTGCGAACAGTGTAGCTAGCGGCCGCAGAAGCACTGAGCACGCGAAGGGTGCGAGTCGTGTAGCTAGCGGAAGCAGCCACAGAAGCACTGAGCATGCACGCGAAGCGTGCGAATCGTGTAGCCACCACCACGTGCTGAGCACGTGTGCTGTTCATGTACTTGCTTCACCGGCCCGCATGCCACGTTCGGCCAGGCAACGCTGGCCGGGTGCTGCTAGTGGTTGATAAATATGGTGGTAAAGACACACCTTGGACGAGAGAGGGATCTGACTCACAGAGATAATAACGAATAATCTTTACTTCAGGATGAGACACTAGCAAAGCAACTGAACTACACGAGAGGAATAACTGCAAGCTGTAACTGACTGAAACAACGAAAAGAACACAACTCGGTGTAGTCTCCAGTCCAAACAACAAGACACCGACTCAACTAATTATGCACAGAAACTACAAGCCGCGAAGTCCGTTTCACGCGCGCTTGGGAAACGGCACATGAGACATGCATAACAACACAACACGATGCACTACTACTACATGCATCATAAATAGCTTGAATAGCACGAAAGAACAGCCAGGAATAATTATGATTAGACTGGTCCACACAGGAACAATAAATGTATCACCTCTACGCGTGCACACAGCATAACTGACACCAAAGAAGGGCACGTTGATTCGGGCATGCATTGGAATTACCATGAACGTAATGACACCCAAAGGCTAGCGGCAGTGATCTGCCATAACACCATACATAGACTACTGAAAGAGGTTCACCGTCTACTCATTCCACCCTCCTTGATACAACTACCGGTAAGTATCAACGTTTATACAACTAAAATGAACTATCAGAAAAGAAAACGAAATGTAACGAGCTATGAGCTAGCTGTACAGAAACATAAATGGCTGCAAAAACGGACGACTGTTGCACAAGAGAGACATATCCAGCCGGTAAGCATGTTAGGGCGATTCAGAATCAGTCCTCACTATCATCAGGTCCAGCGACGCCCACCGTGACAACTGGGCACAGTCGCACCACAGGCCTGGTCACTGTCTTCCCGCCAACTAGCACTCTCGCCACACGCACGGTGCCGTCTTGACCTGGCATCACTTCCGTCACTCTTCCAAGGGGCCATTTACCCCGTGGCGTATCTGCCGTGATCACCAGGACGATATCTCCAACTGCTATGTTCCTTTCCTCGGCGGACCACTTAGCACGGCGATTCAGTCCGGGGACCCACTCTTTCATCCAACGGTGCCAGAAGTGCGTAACAAGTTCTTGCACTCTCCTCCATCTTTGTTGTAGGCGGTAATCGTCACTGCTTGTGCCGATGGAGAACTGCTCCACACGTCCAACCAAGAAGTGGCTCGGAGTCAAGGGCAAGTCGTCTCTGGCATCCACAGAAGGGGTTGTTAGCGGTCTTGAGTTGAGGAGAGACTCGGCACTACAGAAAGCGGTCTGAAGCTCCTCATCGGTAATGCTGGCATCACTCAGAACTGCGTGAATGGCCTTCTTGGCGGCTTTGACCATGGTCTCGTGAACGCCGCCGAAATGCGGGGCACCTGGAGGAATGAAGTGCCACCGTACCCGTGGGAACTTCAACTGGAGCGCCGCCTGCTCTTGTTCTAGCTCTTTCAGCTCGCATTGTCCTCCTACAAAGTTCGTCCCATTGTCCGACAGGACCTCTTCTGGCACTCCTCGGCGGTTGCTCATTCTCTCGAAGGCATTCAAGAAACTACTGGTGTCCAGGGAATAGGACAACTCCAAATGCACAGCACCGCACGTGCGACAAGTGAAGAGGCAGAGGTATCTCTTTGCCCGCCTCTGTCCTCGACCCTGAACTGTCGTAAATGGCCCGGCGTAGTCCACAGCAACCCGGCCGAAGGCACGACGCGGTGACTCTAACCGTATCTTCGGCAGAGGGGCCACGATTGGAGTGACAGGTTTGGCTTTCCTCTTTCTGCATTCAGTACACCTCTGCTCGCATTCACGAACTGCTTCTCGTCCCGCGATGATCCAGAAGCGTTGCATCAGCAGGGACCACGTATGGTTGACTCCAGCAGCATGGTTCGCAGCCTCGTGTTGGTCCTTGACAATCAGGTATGTAACCCAGTTGTGACGTGGTAGAACGATGGGATGCTTAGTTGCTTCGGGCAGGAATTCTGCATTCTGGGTCCGTCCTTCCACTCGCATGACTCCATCTTCATCTAGCCGAGGACAAAGACTAGCCAGTTTGCTGGTCGTTGGGATTGCCTTCCCCTTTCTCAGGAGAGCATACTCTGGGAAGCTCTCTTGTTGAGCTGTTCTGATAAAGGAAAGCTCCGCGTCTGTCACTTCCTCAGGGCTCAAGCTGCCGACTTGCCTCTCATCAACCGGGGTGCGGCAGTTGCTGACAAAGCGAAGCACCCAGGCTAGACGACGTACGGCGACTCTCCACGATGAGAAGTTCCTGGGTTCCAGCTTCCAATCTTTGCTCACAAACGTGAAGAGTGACACTCCTTCAACTGTGCTCATTGTGGCTTCCTTGCACACGGACCTCACCTCGGGCACGACAGGACAAGTGAGTTTGCTGGGTGGTGGCGGCCACTGGGACTTGTCAAGGAGAAGATACTGCGGTCCATTCCACCATTGGGCCTCCTGTACAAGCTTGGCGGCACTGGACCCACGGGAAACCACATCTGCAGGATTGCACTCTGTCGGGACGTAGTGCCACTGACCTGGTTGACTTGAGGCTTGAATCTCTGCCACTCTGTTGGCAATGAATGGCTTGAACTGGCGACTTTGATTGCTCACCCACCACAAGACGTTCATGCTATCCGTCCACCAATGCCAACTGCTCTCGGGTATAGCCAGCACTTCACCCACTGACACAGCCAAATCTACTGCAACTACCGCTGCAGTCAGCTCCAAACGCGGGATGCTGGTGCTTTTTATCGGAGCTACCTTGCCTTTACTTGCCACCGGGCGACAGGTCACTGCCCCAGATTCGTAGCTGTGACGGAGGTAGGCGACTGCTCCATAGGCGTCTTGCGATGCGTCGCTGAAGATGTGCAGTTCCGTGGCAATGATCGCTTCTGTGGTTGACAGTCTCAAACAACGGGGCACAGCCACGGCTTCTAGCTTGTCGAATTCATCACACCATTGCACTACTCGGGCAAGTAGATCATCTTGCAGTGGCTCATCTCACTGAATACCATCGACCCACATTTCCTGGAACAGGATGCGGCCGCTCATCACGAAGGGCAAGACGAACCCCAGCGGGTCGAACAGAGTCGCCAGAATCTTCAGAAAGGTCCGCTTGGTCAGGACTGAGTAACTTGGTGCTCGACACCTGAACGTAAAGACATCCGTCTCTGCATCCCACTGCACACCAAGCGCTTTGGTTGACGGCAGAATACTATCCTGAAGATTCACCTGCTTGGCACGATCTTCCGGTGGGATCAGTTGGAGTAGCTCGGTGCTGTTCGAAATCCACTTGCGAGGATGCATTCCGGCACGGTGCCACAGTTCACTCAGGTCCTGGTACAGTTTGATGGCATCCTTGTCATCGTCGGTGGAATCCATAGTGTCGTCCATATAAGTCGACTTCAACACCGCTTCTGCAGCACGTGGGAAATCTTCTTTTAGCTGCTCAGCATGTTTCTGAGACACCATTTGTGCTAGGAATGGGGACGAATTCACGCCAAACACCACCCGTTGGTACTGGTAGGCGACTGGCTCCTTTGACGCATCCAAGTCCCGCCACAGAAAACGATGAAATTTCTGATCATCTTCAGACAGCTCGATCTGGAGGTACATCTCTGCTACATCGACAACGATAGCAACTGGCTTTGCCCTGAATCGCAGCAATATGTGCGGTAGCTCTCTCTGCAGCTTCGGTCCTGGGTGGAGGTAGTCGTTCAGGCTTGCTCCTTTGCATTTGGCTGATGCGTCAAAGACCACCCTCACTTTAGTTGTTGTTGCATCTGGTCTGGTGACTGGAAAGTGCGAGAGGTACCAACCACCTGTTGACTCGAGCTTTACTGCAGTCATGTATCCAGCGTTCACATGATGCTGCAGTACACGGCAGTACTCCTTTGCTACTTCTGGTTCCTTGTGAAGGCGTTTCTCCGTCGAGCGCAGTCTCTTCAGTGCCATCTCGTAGCTACCGTTCTCCTCCGGCGGGCTTCTCTTCCAAGGCAGCTTGACGGTGTACCTGCCGTTGCAGTACTTTGTTGCTGCCTCTGCATCTGCAAGAGTTTGTCGGTCATTTGCTGCAAGCGGGCTCTGTCGGCGAGGCTCTTCCACCTCCCACATACGCCGGACCAGCATCTCCAGATTACCGTCATCGACTCTGCTGAAGTGAGTGCGGTGATGATCTGAGCTTCCACTCACAGGTCCAACACATGTCCAACCTAGCGCGGTTCTCCTCGCCACCGGCTCTCCCTGATCACCCCTCACCTCCTCCAGAGAGTAGTGAAGCTCGGCATGATCCAGGCCAATAAGCATATCAATCTGGCGAGTTGCTGGCTGTTCGAAGGGTATGTCCTGCAGATGATGGTACTGACTTGACTCGACGGTCCAATCGTACGGTTTCAGTGTGCCTGTGACGTGACTAGTTGTGATGGCTGAGAACGGACTGATGAACTTGCCATCTACACTCTCTACCAGCAGATCCACTGGCATTGACTCGAAAGACTCCACTGCTCCGTTGAGGGTGCTGATCGAAACCTGTTTCATGGGTCCCTGCAAGTTGAGCTGGTCCGCTACCTCTGTGTTCACATAAATTTGGGTGCTCCCATCATCCAACAGCGCATTCACCCTGAGGTTGCGGTCACCGTTTCGTAAAACGACCGGCAAGGTTCTCAGTGACAACGGTCTGGCGCCTGCTCCGATGTTAGCAGTGGTTGTGGTTCTGGCTGTCTCACTGGTGCGACCCCTTTCCGTGCCATTGCTGGCTCTAGACGTGTCAATGGCTACTGCCCTGTGAAGCAGATAGTTGTGGGTATCGCTGCACTTGTCTACGCCACACTTTCTCTTCCGCTGGCAGTCAGCACCTCGATGGCCCTTGCCCAGACAGCGATAGCAGAGCCGATGTGTTTTCGCCACTTTCCAACGCTTGTCCACATCCATTTCCTTGAACTCTTTGCATGTCCACACTTGATGGCCCTGGGAGCATACTGGACACGCTGCCGGTGTCGGATTGGGTGACTCTGCTGCATGGAATGAGTGGCCTCGGGCTGCTGGGCGCTCTCGGCCATGCCTATGGCGACCAGGTGCTAGGCCTGCGATGGCTTCATTGGCGGTAATGTGAAAGTCGGCCTCGAGATTGACCCACTCGAGCAACGCCTCCACCCCTTCTGGGTGCTGGTGCTCATAGAGCCACCTATGGTATCTTGTCAGCAGGTCTTCTGGCAACTTCTGCTGGATTCGCGCGTACAGAGTGCCCACCTCTAGCTCCGATTGGCGACCCGCTGCTTTCAAGTTGGTCACGGCTACTTCCAACAAATCTGAGAACTGTTCCAGATCTTGTGCGTTGACTCGATCTCCGTGCAATGGCTTGAATCGTTCCAGTTCATCTAAGTACACCATCACTTGGCGCCGCGTACCTCCGAATTTCCGTTCCAGGCGTTCCATTGCCTTGTGATATGAGTCCGGGGCGTACCCTAGCCGCTCGATGCATCTTAGCGCTTCTCCCACTACATACTGTCGTAGCTGCAACAGCTTCAGGGTTGGGCTGATTGGCGCACTGTCCACGCACACCAGGAACGTGGCCTTCCATAACTCATAGGCACGCTTATCACCATCAAACACGGGTATTGAAATGCTTCTCATTTTGCTGAAGACGTCTGTGGCTCCAGCTGGTGGTGCAGCAAAACTAGATGGCCTCGATGGAGCTGGTACTGGTAGACCATTGTAGCTGCTGCCATGGCCATGTGCCACACTCTGTGTAGGCCTGAAACTGGCTCGAGGTACAAATGGGACGGCGGCCACAGACTGGTGTAATGTATGGGCTGGTCTCTGGCTACTTCCACTCATGACTGCTGCGTGTACCCTGCTGGAGTGAACAGGGGCTGATTGCCTGGGCAGTACATTGCTATTGGTTGCTTGTACAGCTACAGGTGCGCTGGTGTTGCTGGCCTGACTCAGTGGCACTGTGGGTCCTGCTGCTGCTGCTGCTGCTGGCGCACTGCTACTTGTGCGGGAACTGATGCTATGGCTACTACTGGTACTAGAACTGGAGTGGTGACTGCTCCCTGCACTCACACTGGCTGGTGGAGTAGAGCTGGAGCTTGTGGGTGCACCTACAGACGAAGAAAGTGAGGTGATTGCGCTTTTACTTGAGACACTGGCACTGACAGGCCTGTTGGTGCTGAATGTGTTGCTTGCTGCAGATGTGTCCATGTTGCTTGTGACAGGAGTGAAGTCCACACTGACACCACCAGGCGCGGAAGACGGTCTAGCGGACTGTGCAGAACTCGCAGACTGAGCAGTTCCTGACACCCCACCTAATGAGTCGTGAGCAGCGCTAAAGCTTGATGGCATAACAGGGTGGTACTGACTGAACCCTGCGGAATGATGCGCACGAATATGTTGTTGCTCCTCGTACATCTCCACCTGCTGCTCCAGGTGCGCCATTGCTTCTGCCACTTCCTCCAGCTCCGTTATTGCTGCGTCGACTGCTTTGCCTTTTTTCTCGGCTTGAAAACACGTCACCAGTGACTCCAACACCTGATTCACCTCGTTGGCGAACCATTGCACTGCCTCGAATTCGTCTCTCACGGCATCCAAACTCAACTTCTCGTCACGGATCTGCAAAATCAAGCCTCGTCGCCGCGACGTCAAGCGCCGTTTCATTTGAATTTTTGCCACTCTCATGTCTGCAGATGCCGAGGCCACAGCATCGTTGACTTGCTCTTCCTGGCCGTCCGTATTACCAGGCTCAACATAATCGCCAGGCTCAACATAATCGCCAGGCTCAACATCATGGCCAGGCCCAACATCATCGCCTACCGTGACCCTGTTCCGCTCGTGACTGATATCGTCGCTGTGTTCAGACATCTCGCTCCGATGGACTTCCGACTAGGTGAAGATAACCATCCTCTGCTACCATTAGACGAGAGAGGGATCTGACTCACAGAGATAATAACGAATAATCTTTACTTCAGGATGAGACACTAGCAAAGCAACTGAACTACACGAGAGGAATAACTGCAAGCTGTAACTGACTGAAACAACGAAAAGAACACAACTCGGTGTAGTCTCCAGTCCAAACAACAAGACACCGACTCAACTACTTATGCACAGAAACTACAAGCCGCGAAGTCCGTTTCACGCGCGCTCGGGAAACGGCACATGAGACATGCATAACAACACAACACGATGCACTACTACTACATGCATCATAAATAGCTTGAATAGCACGAAAGAACAGCCAGGAATAATTATGATTAGACTGGTCCACACAGGAACAATAAATGTATCACCTCTACGCGTGCACACAGCATAACTGACACCAAAGAAGGGCACGTTGATTCGGGCATGCATTGGAATTACCATGAACGTAATGACACCCAAAGGCTAGCGGCAGTGATCTGCCATAACACCATACATAGACTACTGAAAGAGGTTCACCGTCTACTCACACCTGGCAATATGGCGGTAAACACACGCCTGCCCACACACGCTCGCTAAGCTGCAAAGTTCTGGCACAGAGCTCCCCTTCTCACCACCATCAGTTCGCGCCTGGCGCCTGGTCGATGCATTTTTTTAAATTTTTTTTACAAAGAACACTTAAATGCCAAACATTAACATGAGATGCAGCTAGGGGAAGCACGCACAACCTGAATCGTGGCAGTGGTGGTGAGGTCTAGGGAGCTCCGCCGACCTAGGGTCTCGACTTGATGGCCACCTAGACGCATCAAGAGTGGGTCAGGAGGGAGAGCAAGAGAGCGAGAGAGAGAGAGATAGATAGATAGATAGAGAGAGAGAGAGAGAGAGAGAGAGAGAGAGAGAGAGAGAGAGAGAGAGGGACAGACAGACAGACAGACAGAGAGACAGACGGACGGAGACAGACACACAGAGAGAGAGAGAGAGAGAGTTACAGAGAGTACACGAGCCCGTCGAATATTTTTTATGTTTTATATACGGCTTACGTACAAATGTTGAAGTAATCGTTGTATCCAGGGAGTCGTAAAATACCGACTCCCTGGTTGTATGCATATCCATCGTCGTGCTATAACGCACCACCCTTTTTGAACTGTGTACGTATCCGCTAAAAGCAGTTGTGCGCGATGTGAAAGATGAACTGAACTTGACTCAGGGTAGTCCTGAGTCACAGGTGGGGATTCCAAATTCCCCTAGTCTCACACCTGTGTAAATTTCTGTGATCAATTGGTGATTCGCAGTCTTGTGCACGGGAGCTGGGATTGCAGTGCGTAATTCCTGGTTGCATGACCTCAGCTACGGTCATCGGGTATTACATGCTGTCCATCTACCTGGTAGATCCGTCCCCATTTGTCCAAAACCCTGCAATACAGATTATAAAAATGGAAGCCACTCGATGTACTGCCTTCAGTTGAGTTCCTTCAGCCAAAACACTATAAAAGCTCTTCGTCTTGTTTTAAACCAGCTCATACAGTGAGTGTGCTACTGAGAGTCATTCAGCAACTTAGCCTTCGTTTTCTGTTGCGATTCTCCAAACAAAATCTGTAATACGTTTCAGACATCATTCCGCACACTCCCTAGTATTGAGAGTGCTGATACTGTCTTTCTAACTGCATTTACGCGCATACCGGCGGGATGAAGCCAAGCCCCGTTGACATTGTATCCACTGCTGCTGTCCGTGCGGCCAACACGACTCCAGCCCGTCCAAACCCCGCGGACAGTCGGTGCATATCACAGGGTGGCAGCTATGCTCAGTTCGTCTCTGTGTCTGTGAGAATACTGGTGCTGCTGGTGGCCACATGTTTATCAGGTGGTGCAGATGCGACACCCGGCACTCCGCTGCGATCAGGCCGATCCTCTTCCAATGACATGGTTATAATAGTAGATCCGAACGAAAACCTGGCGGATTCCAATGGAAAGCTTCGTGGATCAGCTTCAGCGCAGCGCATGCAGACTGAGCTACTGGTTCCCCCAGGCCGTGATCACCATAAGAAAAGACACGAAGGCATCCCAGTTGTTTTGAATGCTCCGGATATGCCGTGCGTTCTGGGAATAAACAAGAAAGGGAACGTTACGTTTTCTCCAGGCTGCTCGTCTCTAGAGCGTAGTCAGCTGTATATCCTGAAATTACCTGAACATAATGATATGGTCAATAGATATGAAGCTGTTGCAATCTATGCGAAGACTGGACGAAAAGCGTATAAGTTTCTTCAGATGAAGTCCGATTTTAATGTGAAAACAGGCAATGCCAGAAGCGTGCCCCATTTTCTGGGTAAGCTTGCCTCCACTGACAACCCGTGCATCAATGGCACAATATTCCTGAAGGTGCCCGCTGTGGCGCTGGCCCATGCACAGTCTCAGGCAGCACGGCCACTTGGCACTGTCGCTTTCGTCTGGTCTCCAAGCCATTCCATTACCCGCTAGCCTTCTCGGCAGGGAAGCATAACAGTCCATCCGTGCCAGATCTTCGTGCGAGAAACTGGCGAGCAGACAGTTCCACATCAAAGGAAGAGCTGCGTAAGGTGTGTAAAGAGAAGGAGCCGAGAATTCACTACAGACAGATAACTAACGCGCCGCAGCGTGCAACTGAGTTCCACATCATCGAAGGAATGCCTGCATCGTGGTGGACCCGCGAGAATCAGCTGGCATACCTGAACTGCCCCGGCCGACCGCTTCGTCGCATGTGCAAGTCAGTGTGTGCCAACTCGAAGCGCTGCGGCAATCACACAACGTACTTACTGCGATCCAAGGCAATCGCCGCGCATCAATGCGGCTGAAAAGTAAGATTGATACTGGCCTTCACCCAACATTTAGTGTACATCTTAGGCAGGTTCACTATTCACTGCCTGATTCACACGTAAATTATTTGCAATTCTGGTCCATCTGAGGCTCGTGCCATGCCAGCCGCTATAACGGGTGACTTGAATAATTCACGGGCCTCATTCACTCATCATTTTTATCCTGTATCCCGGAGCGTGAGAAGTTCCGTTGACTTTCTCTCGTCTGCATTTGCCATGTGCGTCTTTCCCGTCTTTGCCTTGATCTTGAAACTTGAATGCACTGATATCGTCGTTTTCCTTGAGGCATATACAATGTACGTGAGTTCCGCACCATACACGATCTACTGATTGTATTTATGAACACCTTGGATTTAGAAAAGGCTAGTCACATTGTGGACACACATTCACTCTACTGAAGACAGTGAAGTATGCAATGCAAATAATATCATTGGCATATCATTGGCATTTCCATCACGTTTTATCCTGGTTCAATCACCGTCGTATACCATCATTGCATATATCAATATTGATAATATTAATAATTATATTAGCAGATTCGGCTACTAAGTCATGTGTTGGAATCCGGTACTAGTATTCCAAGCAAAAGTTCATCGTCTTTAAAACTCGTCCAGTCGAGGTACGGGTTGATTGTCTTGGTGTGCGTCACACTTGCGTGCGAGGAAGTGCGTCCGAGTGTGTGTGTGGGGGGGGCTTACTAGTACATGCAAGAGCACATGAAACTATCATGTACTCTT